TTCAGAGGATGAACTGGAACTTTCAAATATGGTTTCCAGTATTTCGCGTACGGTTTCCCATGCTCTTGCCTGGCTGCTCGCCCATACACATTGACACGATCTGGACAAAAAGTACACAATCACTTATTAAATATAATTATTTATTATAAAATATATATATATGTATATTTACCAAAGATTCTTCGGAATTACTCATTTTGCTAAATGTTTCGCTCAAAAATTTCACAAACAGTCCACATTTTATGACAGCTGACACCAGTGTTGTGAAGTGAATGCAAATTATAAGACAGTTGAATATAAGCCAGTTGAGCGTTCTTTTGCAGCTCGGGTACAAAAGAAAACAACTATTATTTCGTTAAGAATAGGAGTTAGTTTGAATGTTTCCATTTGAGCACTCTATCCGTGGCGTGTAAGAAATGTTGTTGCACAATTTTATTTATTTGAAAATCTGTCGAATTTTGGAACTTGGAGTGACAAAAATCTGAGAAAAACAAAAAAATTAATCTTAGTTAAATATATTAGCATTGCTAATTACATACATATATTATTTTAAACCTTTTATGATGGAAAAAGCTGCAAAGTTTTGTGTGCTTGGCTTCTCCGATGTCCCACGCCAAGTTAAATTAATCGCCAACTCATCAGACACATTTGCTTTAACGCTAAACGGACGAATACAGGAACTTCTTCTCCTCCAATCTTTTGTATCACGCATTTCTGCAATCAATAAAGCCAATGTTTTATTAAAATCGTAAGCACAGAAGCTGAAATAAGATTTGCATACCAACTGAGCTCTCATCTTGTCGTCCAATAATAATTTTTCGAATTTAAGAGCATTGGCTGCTAAATGTATGTAACTATTGTAATATTATGATATACAATTTTTTTATTTATTTTTGCTGAACTTTTTTTTTTCGCCGTTAACTAGACAAACCAGAAATTGTCTTCTTTTTGCACGATAAGAAGTTAAAAACGCGATAGTAGTGTATTTTGTTTTTGTAAAATATGGACCATCTTTCAACTAACGTTTACAAGTGCCTCAGACGTTACTTCTTTGGGATAGACGAGAAAACGATTTTCTAAATGCTGGCAGGGATTTTACTTAAAAATTGGTATGAACATACATGCATATTTTATTAAACTTAAAATTGTACTTCCTCACTCTTGTACTTTACTTCATTGACTGGCTTCAACTTCGCTGCAAATTGAACAAAGCAATATATGATTTTTACGCGAGACAAATTTCCACAAAAAGTAACGGTAGAAAAAGAATTTTTGTATATTCATTCTATTTTTCAGCTGACTACGATGCAGCATTCTACTTTGCATTCTCCG